GAAATTATTGCAGTCATTTTCTTACGCTTTTTTTTTGTGGTGTTGATGGTTTCTTGGTTCTGCTTAATTTTCCATGCTGAGTATTTTTGATTGTGATTTGTCTTTCATTTCCTTTGTCATTTTTGGTTTTGTGTGTACTGAATCTTTATGATTTTCTTTTTTTATATTTTGATGAATAGGTTTGTTGACTTTCTTTTGATTACCCTGAAATTTACCTTTATCTTCCAAAGTTTAAAGCAGTAATTTATTTCTTGACATTGCCTTGACTTCCTCTCCATATAGAAGTTCTAAACCTATACCCTTTACTCCCTATTTATGTTTTGAAGTTACAGATTGGCTTCTCTGGTTCCCTGTTTTCCATCTTTTAGCTTTATTTTGTTTTTGAGAATCGTTTGTCTGGGCTGATATCTGTCTGATGTTGTCATGTGTTTCAATCTCAGACTGTTGTCTGGTGTATTGTTAGTTTTCTGTCCAAAGGACTCCTTGTAATATTTCTTGTAAAGTTGGTCTGGCTTTTACAAATTCCTTTAATTTCTGTTTATCTGGAAATGTCCTAATTTCACCATCATATCTGAAGGATAATTTTTCTGGATATATAATTCTTGGTTGGCAGTTTTATTCTTTCAAGGTTTCATATATATTATCCTATTGCTTTCTTGTCTGCATGGTTTCTGCCAAGTATTAAGAACTTAGTCTTATCGATGTCCCTTTGTAAGTGATCTTTCGTTTTTCCTGAGCTGCTTTCAGGATTCTTTGTCTTTGGTTTTGGAAAGTTTGATTATGACATATCTCAGTGTTTTTCTATTGGGATCTATCCTGTATGGGATTTATTGTGCTTCTTGTATGGTTATCTTCTCATCTTTTACAATATGAGGGAAGTTTTATGTCAGCACATGTCCAACAACTTTCTCTGTGCTTTTTGTTGACTCCTCCCCTTCTGGGATTCTCATCACACATAAGTTATTCTTCTTGATTGTGTCCTACATAACTCTTAGGCTTTCTTCCTTTTTTTTCAGTCTTTTTTTAAATTTATTGTTCCTTGAACAGATTAGTTTCAAGGGATTGATCTTATATTCCACTGATCCTGTCTTCCATTGTTTCAATTCAACTCTATGACTTTCCATTGAGTTGTCAATTTCTGCAATTTTATTGTTAAACTTCTGAATTTATAGTTGCTGTTTCTGTATCATTTCCAATTGTCTATTTATTTTGTTATTTTATTCTTGTATTGTTTTCCTGAATTCTTCTAGTGTTTTGTCTGTGCTTTTCTTGGTTTTGTCTGTGTTTTCCATAGTTTTGTCTGTGTTTTCCTTGATTCCTTTGAGGATCCTATACATAAGACTTTTGAATTCCTTATCAGGAATCTCCATTACCTTTTCTTCCTCAGGGAAATTTCTGGTTCTAAATTATGGTCACTTGCTGGGGCCATCTTGCCCTGTTTCTTTAGGTGGTTTGGTATTGTTTTTTGTCTCCGGGACATTAAGGGGTTGTTGTATTTATTTACTTGTATAATTGTTTGCTGGGTCCTGTTTTTTGTTTTGTTTTGGTGATTCCTGGCAGAAGTGGCTGGAATGGTGCTCTGTTCACTGGACTGGCTGTGCTGGAGCACTCCCTACTTGTCTTTGGGTGAGTGGAGAGGTGAGTAGGTGTGCGAGCTCAGGTCTTTGTTTACTGATCTTGTGGGACAGCTTAGGGTGGGTTGGTTGGGCTTTGGCCTCCATCTGTCTTTGGTTCAGTGGCTCAGAGCTAGAATGGTGCTCTTTGTGCAGGTAGAGTGACCAATGTGGTGGGTGTGGTGAGCAAGTGGGGGTGTGTTCATCACCTCTTGCTGGCTTGTGGGGGAGATGGGGGTTGTGGGGGGGCGGTGGGTGGACATTCATGCAGTTGCTCTACCTCCACCTCCTCCTGGGCATCTGTCAGTGGTGGGAAGAGCGAGGAAGGTACAGTGGGTGGGTTGATATGCACTCACTCCTCTTCCAGTCCACACTGGGCAGGGGGAGAGAGGAAAGGGCCTCAGAGGGGATGCGCACATAGGCATAGCTCCTCTACCCCTTGCTTGGAGGGTTAAAGGATGGAGTCAAGCCTGGTGGATGCAGGCACAGAGATGCTGCCTCTCATCAGGTGAGGGGAGGGAGGAAGGGGCTGCTGGAGGATGCACTCACAGTCGTGTCTCCTCTGTCCCTAGCAGGGTGGGTTAAGGGATGGAGTCGAGCCTAGCAGATGTGCGCACAGAGGTGTTGCCTTGTGTCAGGCAAGGGGAGGGAGGAAGGTGTTGTGGTGGGATGCAAGCACAGTGGTGTCTCTGCCCCTTGATGGGTGAGTTAAGGGATGGAGTCACACCAGGTGGATGTTTGCACTGTGGTGCCACTTAGTGTCAGGTGGCGGGGAAGAAGAGGTTGCAGGGGGATGTGCACACAGTCATGGCTCCCCTGCCCCTCTGGGTGGGTTAAAGGATGGAGTCATTTGTGGCAGATGCACACAAAGAGGTGCTGCCTTGCATTAGGTAAGGGGAGGGAGGAAGTGGCTGCTGGTGGATGTGTGCTTAGTAGCATCTCCTCTGCCTCTCGCTGGGCAGGTTAAGGGAGACAGTTGTGCATGGTAGATTTGAGCACAGTGGTGCTGCCTCATGTCAGCTGGTGCGAGAGAGGAAGGGGCTACAGGGGGATGTGCATGAAGTCATGGCCCTTCTACCCTTCGCTGGGTGGGTTAAAGGATGAAGTCTTTCCTGGCAGATATGAGCACAAAGGTGCTGCCTCATGATGGATGGGGGGAAGGATCTCTTTCTGTCCTGCTGCCACTGCCCTCCACTGGGCCCTTGGATGGGGGGAATAGGTGGTAGGTGGGTACACACACAGTCTTGCTTGTGGGGTGAGCAAGGAGGGATAGTGGACAGGGCTCGGTGGGGTAGGAGGGAAGAGGATAGGCTAGTGTTGGGTTCCCCTAGTCAGGCAAGGTGGTTGGGGTATGAGACCCTCTGCCCTTCTGATCAGGAGGATGGGTTGAGGGGGAGTGCATTCCTCCAGCTGGATACAAGGATGCCAGGGCACCTTGTGTCCACTGCAACCAGTGAGTGGGACCTGTCCTCTCTCGTGTGTGAGGAGGAGGGCCATTCAGGCATGGGTTGGGTGGGAGAGCTCCTGCTGGCACTCCATGGGTCCACCACCTCATGTGGTCAAGGGCTGCTGCTCCTGAGTATCTCCAGTTCTGGATCTGGCACGTGCCCTTTTTCTATTTCTTTCCATGTGTGTCTATAGAGGTTCTCTGTCCCTTTTGGGAAAGTTGTGAAGTTGCCTTGCTGTTTTCGTCTCTCAAGGTCACTGATGGCTATGTCCTAAGTTAGCTGCAGGTGACCAGGACGGCTGGCTGAGCTCCTCTGCTCCGTGTTACTCCTCTTTTGCTGCTTTCCTTATTCCTTTCAACTGGTGTTCGGTTCAGTTCTTAGAGCTTCTTTTTGATATTCAGGGTTTCCAGATTGTTATCTGCTTCTATTTCCCTTGTTTTTTTTGGTCTTTTGAGCAAGGGGACATTATGGTATGCTTGACTAAGCTGCCATCTTGGCTCCGCCCTCAGTTCATTGATTTTCATTATGATATTTCTTATTTCTTCTCTTTGCTTTGGGTTTAGTTTGCTCTTGTTCCCATTTATTAAGGCTAAAGCTTAGGTTATTGATTTGAGATCTGTTTTTATCTTTAGTATAGGCATTTAAAGTTATAAATTTCCCTCTAAACATTGCTTTATCTGTATCCCATAAAGCTTGAAATGTTCTTTTGTTTTCATTCTGTTCAAAATATATTCTTATTTCCCTTGCAATCTTCTATGACACATTGTTTAGTTAGAAATGAGTTGTCTAATTTCCAGAATTTATTGATTTCCCAAATTTCTTTTTGTTGGTTTATAATTGAATTCCGTTGTGTTTGAAGGACACACTTGCATGATTTTAAACCTTTTAAATTTATTGAGGCTTGTATTATGCCATAACATATGGTCTATTCTCAAGAATATTCCATGTGTGCTTGAAAAGAATGTATATTATGCTGTTGTTGAGTGGGGTTTCTATAGAAGTCAGTTAGGTCACGTTGGTTGATAGTGTTCGATTCTTCTATATCTTCACTGATTTTGTGTCTAGTTGTTCTATTCATTATTGAGAGTGGGATATTGAAGTGTCCAATTATTATTGTCTATTTCTTTCTTCAATTCTGTCAGTCTCTGCTTCATGTATATTGGAGCTCTGTTGTTAAGGATATACATGTTTATCTATTCCTAATGAACAGACATTATCATTATAAAATCTTCGTCTTTGTACTAGTATTTTTTTTGCATGTGTCTTTAAGTCTATTTTGTCTGTTATTAGTATAGCCACTTCATCTCTCTTATAGTTACTATTTGCACGGTATATCTTTTTTCATCCATTTACTTTCAACCTATATGTGTCTTTGAATCCAAAGTGTTTCTTTTATACACAGCATGTAGTCGGATCTTGTTTTATATCCACTCTTATAAATCTGCCTTTAGATTGGAGTGTTTAATCCTTTTACTTTTTTTAATTGAAAATTTTATTGCAGTTTTAATAAAATAATATATAGGGATTCCTTGTACACTATGCCTAGTTTTCCCCAGTGGTGATATTTTGCAAAAGTACAATATAATATTACAACCTGGATATTGATATTGATACTATCTATAGCTCTTATTCAGATTTCCCCTGTTTACTTGTATTTGTGTGTGTGTGTGTGTATTGTGTTAAGTTCTATACAATTTTATCATCTGGTAGGTTTGTGTATCCACCGCCACAGTCAAGATACAGAACAGATGCCACAAAGATCCCTTGTGTTGCCCTTTTATAACCATACCAGCCTCCCTCCCATGCTGACCCCGGCCCCATCTCTAACCCCTGGCAATCACTAATCTGACCTCTATTTCTGATTTTTTTTCATTTCACAAATGTTATATAAGTGAAACCATACATTATGTGACCTTTTGGGATTTGATTTTTTTTCTCAAAAAATATGAAACACTTCATGAATTTGCATGTCATCCTTGCACAGTGGCTATGCTATTCTACTCTATATTACTTCAATTTTAGAATATGTGCTGTTGAAGCAATGGAGTTCCTGGGTGGCAGAAATGGTTAAGCACTCAACTGCTAGTCAAAAAGTTGGTGGTTTGACTCCAGAAGATAAGCTAGATAACTGGGATCTTCTAAAAATCAAACACCTATGATCTTCAAAAGACTTCACCAAAAGAGTAAAAAGAGAACCTACAGAATGGGAAAAAATTTTTGGACAGTACAAGTCAGACAAAGGTCTGATCTCAATAATCTACAAGAAATTCCAACACTTCTACAACAAAAAGATAAATAATCCTATTAAAAAATGGGCAAAGGAAATGAACAGACACTTCACCAAAGAAGACATTCAAGTGGCCAACAGATACGTGAGGAAATGCTTGTGATCACTAGCCATTAGAGAAATGCAAATGAAAACCACAGTGAGATACCATCTCACCCCGGCATTACGGGCATGAATCAAAAACACTGGAAATAACAAATGTTGGAGAGGCTGTGGGGAGATCGGAACTCTTATGCACTGCTGGTGGGAATGCAAAATGATACAACCATTTTGGAAAATGATACGGTGCTTCCTTAGAAAGCTAGAAATAGAAATACCATAGGATCCAGCAATGCCACTCCTAGGAATGTATCCTAGAGAAACAAGAGCCGTCACTCGAATAGACATATGCACACCCATGCTCATTGCAGCATTGTCCACAGTAGTAAAAAGATGGAAACAACCTAGATGCCTATCAACAGATGAATGCATAGACCGACTATAGTACATACACACAATGGAGTACTACACAATGATAAAGAACAATGATGAATCTGTGAAGTATCTCATAACATGGATGAAACTGGAGGACATTATGCTGAGTGAAATAAGTCAATCACAAAAGGACAAATATTGTATGAGACCTCTATTATAAACACTCATGAGAAAGTTTACACACAAAAAGTAACAATCTTTGTTGGTTATGAGGGATGGGAGGGGTGGGGTGGAAATACTAAATAGGCAATAGATAAGTGGTATTTTTGGTGAAGGGTGAGACAGTACACAATACTGGGGAAACCACCACAACTTGTACAAGGAAAGGTCATGGAAGCTCCATAGACACATCAAAACTCCCTGAGGGACTGAATTGCTGGGCGGAGGGCTGTGGGGACCATGGTCTTGGGGAACATCTAGCTCAATTGGCATAACACAGTTTATAAAGACAATGTGCTACATTCTACCTTGGTGAGTAGCTTCTGGGATCTTAAAAGCCTATGAGCAGCCATCTAAGATACTCCACGGGTCTCACCCCTTCGGGAGCAAGGGAGAATGAAGAGAACAGGATACAAGGAAAATATTAGTCCAAAGGTCTAATGGACCACAGCTACTAAGGCCTCCACCAGACTGAGTCCAGTACA